GGCTTAGGATCGCGCCACGTCATTCAGCAAGTTGAGGCTGCCACCTCGACGGACGGCAACCACGCTGATGGCGCCTTTGTCCCGCATAAGAGTCGACCGAAATAGACGATAGAAAAGACTCTACGACATGGAGCTGCAAGCAGCGCTGCTCGTCGTTCTCGTCGTGCTCGGCGCGTACATGCCGGTGCTCTTGACGCTGTACGTGTGTCGGCGGCGGCGGGCCCACGTGCGTTGCCGGCAGCCGCTCGATATGGCGTTCGCCGCCGCCTGCGTCATGATCTTTGCGCTCGCAGACCCGCTGCACCAAGTGCTGTCGGGTCCAGCCAAGGGCCTAGCGTGCTACTGGCACGTCGTCTGGGCAACGTTCGGTGTCACCGGAAGGTACTATCTCCTCCTCCATCGACGGAGGCGAGGGAAATGAATAGCACGTGGTACTTGATTGTGGCCGTATCGCATGTCGTGCGGCACCGCGTCACCGAAGTCCTTGCGCAGCCGCTGGACCCGGAAGAGCCGTACCCCAAGATGCGGCTCTATCGATGGATGCTGCGGCGACGCGTTCAGCGCTGCGCCTGTGCTGCGATCGTGGCGCTCGTTCTCGGCGCGACGCTGAGCGCCTCCAACACGGCTACGCTCCTCGGCTCGTCCCTGAACGGCTGCTTGACACCGGTACGCGCCAGTAGATGCTACAATAATGCACCGGAGGCTATAGGCCATGGTCGTCTCGATCGGTATCCAGTTTGGATTTTGTCTCTGCATCGTGCTCTCGGTCGTGTACGCTCTGCACAGCGTCGACGACCTCGCGGGCCTCCACCGCACGTATGCGCAGACGCTGCTGCACGCCATGGGCGGGCTCTGGCTGCTCGGGTTCGTCTCGTACTGCGAAGCGCAGTTTCAATGGACGCTGCTGCGACTGTACAATGTCAAGACGATGATGAGCACGCTTCTCGCGCACCTTTTGTTTTATTTCAACATTGTCCATCCGATGACGTCGCTCCGTCGTACATCATTGTCCGTATCAATGCATTGACATGATGACGTAGGCGCCACGCGGGTCGACGATGCCGATTACAGCGGCGACGCGACAGCGACGTCGTGCTCACTGCACGAGCTCGCGAGCTTTCGCACGTACCTGGAGCAGCCTCACGGGCTCGATGACTTTACCGCCTACTGCCGCCTCGCCTTGCGCCTCGAAGACATTCTGGCCTACACGACGCTGTGGAATTTCATGACGCAGCTCCCGACGCGCGAAGCGGCGACCGCCATCTACCACGAGTGCTTGGACCTGAACGGGCAGCTTGTGACATCAAGTGCGGCCAAGTGGCGCGACTTTTACCGGTCGCAGCTCGCGAGTCCGCACGGCCTTTGGACCAATGGTAGTACGAGGAACGTGCACGGGCCCGAGGTGGTTCCTTGGGACTTTTATTTGCCATTTCTCAACGACCTCGTCGTCGCGATGTACCGCGACCTCGCGCCCGACTTTACGCGGCACGCGCTCGGTCTCTCGTGGCGCGAGTTCCGGTATGCACACCTCCACGCGTCGCAGCGCTGCATCTCCGGCGACGCGTCGCTCGCAGCGATCGTCTCAATGCCCCTCGGCCCCATTCCCGTATCGACTGCCTCGTCCCGGTTTCACGACGACGAGCCGTGAGTCATTCCGGTATTTTTGGCGCCAATTCGGAAATCGGAAACGCATATCGACCTTGGGCAATGGACGCGGCCGTCGCAGGCGCCTTGACGCTCTACATGCCGCTGACACTCGCGCTCTTTGTCGCTCGACGGCGCGCGCGGGTGCTCCAGTCGTCTTTCCCGCGCTCTGCGCCTGGCTCTGCAGTATCCTAGGGCCATTGACCGGGTCGACATCCGTGCGCCCATGCTATCTCTCACTGCTGTGGTTTGGCCTCAGTGTCGCGGGGAGGTGAACACACGAGGCTGTGGGTGCTCTCGGGTTGATACTCCTGTGCCCATATCTCGATGGCTAGTGTGGCGTATGTGACGGCGGCGGTCGTGCTCTTGCTGCGCTACCACGTCACCGCGATGGTGGTCCACGCGATGAGGCTGGAAAGTGTACTTGGATCCGCTGCGCTGGCTGCGCTTAGGCTTGCACCCGCGCATCCATCTCTACGTGTGCCTTCTCACAACGCTGGTGTCGCTTGGGTGCGTCATTATGCTCCTCGAAACGTCGTCGACTGCGGTATTTGAAGCCGCGTCGTGCTTGACACTGGTGCGTACGCTGTCCAGAGGTTGCATGCCATGCTAGTTTTTGACTAGTCGACGCAATGGCGCATGGGTGTCGCGGTTGCTCTTCTATGCGCGGTCGTCGCGTCCGTGTCGGTGATGCTCTACGCAGTCGAGGACGCATACGGCCTCCATTGGACCTACCAGCGCACGCTTCAAGTCTCGGTCGTATTGCTTCTCGGCGTTGGCGGTGGTAGCTACGCCGAGTGGCATTTTCAAGGGTCGGTTCTGAGCGACTATGGCGTCGGCCGTCTCCTTGGTGTGCTCTTACCCCACACACTGTTTCTCACCAACCTCCTTCCGCCCTTGTACCAGCTCGGTGTGTGCCACCGCGCGGTGGAGCCCACGGCGGCGACGCACGACGACGTCGCGCTCTTTCACCGGTTTCTTCGGCGCCCCGACGCGTACCTCGTGTTTCTTCGCTACTGCCGCCTTGCGCTGCGACTCGAAGAGCTGCTGGCATGGAAAGCGATCGAGCGCGTTGACCAGAAGCCATGGACGCTCGTCAGCAGCTGGAAGCTCTACACGCGCTGCATGGATACCTCGGCGCCGTTCTTGACAGACACGGGTCGGCGCTGGCAGCCGTACTACATGATCAAGCTCAAGAGCCATCCAGCCCGACGACACGCCGCTACCGCCCGGTTTCTTTGAGCCGTTGATGGCCGACCTCGTGCGGGATTTGAATCTTGACGTGCTGCCTTGGTTTGAACGCCATTCGCTCGGTATGGCGTGGCTCGAATTCCGCTTCTACAACGTACACGCGTCCCAGCGTGCGCCGTCGGGCAGCGGCCGCACGCACTCGTCGGTCGCGACGGAGCTCGTTTGTGCTCTCGGCGCCGCTCGAG